TTCCAAAACGCATCCGTAAAGTTGACGAAACGTATCGCTAGAGCAATCAGCGCATTATAAGCGCATTTGTTATTGGCTACCATTGGTGTTTTAAAAATGGAAAATTCAGAAAAATTGTTCATTGCTATATTGAATATTTAAAATATCCAATGTATGTATATGGTTGCAATGTCCCGCAACTCTGCATATACAAACAGTTTGAATACCGCAGTATAACCAGTATCCAAACATTGTATTGATACGTTTTGGAAGTCAGCCTAGTTTTTTAGTTAATGTATTAATCATGAAGAAAAAAATGTTTCTATTAATTGGGTAAGTGCTATGAATTGTCTTATGAAAAAAAATCGCCAAATTTTTTTTTTTTTTAGTTGATCGCACTTTAGACCTAGGTGTGCAATATGTTGACTAATTTATATAACTTCTATTGAATTAATGTAATTCTTATTTTCAGATGACGCATGTGCCACGCCAATGGTAAACATAGCGAAAATTGTGCAGCCAACGGCAACTGTCTCAAGTGTGCCCGTATCTGGACCCACTACTGGTATTGCGCGGGCTCCTGGCCAGACATTGCGCAGCGGCGTAGGAACAGCACTGCCTGCTACAGCAGTGGCACAATCAGTTGTTGGCCCTGTTCCTCTGTCAACAGTAGCATTAGCCAGTTCGGGCAATATTATCGGTGATAGCACAACAGCAGCAGCTGCAATATCAGCAGCAATTACATCAACTGCTAACAATTTACCTTCTGGAGCAGTTGGTGGTGGTATGGCCATTATTGCGGGTGCTCCACCATCGCCTTCTCCTGTGAAAATGCAGCCAACAGCAACCATACAGCGGGCCCCGGGAGGAAAATATGCAGCTTTGGCTGCAGCTGCTGCTGCCTCTCACTCTCTGGATCAGCAGGTGACCGCCCCCCATCCTGTGCCAATCGCTGTTCCTCCTGTTACAGTGCCACCAGCTGGAGCACGTGGTGCTCCACCACCTATACCTCCCAATAAACCGATAGTACCGCCAAAGCGTGAACCATCACTTTCTCGGCTAAGTTCCATTGTCGTGGCTGGGGCCAGTACAGCTAATGCTGGTGTAGGTGCAGTTACTTCAGCCGGTGGAGTTGCAAACACAACATCCAATGCAAAGTTAAATTAGATAACCTAATTTCTCCCATGCAGTATACTGTTTCTTCATGTAAAACTCGACATGTAGGAACTTAAAATCCGAATTATAGCTTTCGCGTTCGAACAAAGTTCCGTGATTAATTTGTCATTTCAGCAGCCAATAAGGCTTAGGTGATAATAACCTTTATTATATCCGATCGCGAACATAACAATTCGACCCAGATAAAAATTGGACAGTATATAAATCTTAGCCGATGTAATAATACTTTTAACCTGCAGACAAGTTGAATGGAATTTTAAATAAATCATTTAACTATTCTCAACTTTACTAAACGAGGTATTTACAGATCCACTCGTTTCTTACATAAGCTTACGAATATTTAGTCCTATATTACTTCTTTGATTATTTACTAACTGCGAAGCATCTATGTTGTATTAGCTTTATGGACTAAATATAACATATGTATATTATTAAAGTATGTACCGAGAATAAACGATAGCATAATTTATTTTGTAGGAAAACTAAATATTTGCTGTATAAGTATGGACATCTTCTTTTTTGAACATCCGACTCTGCTATATTATGTAAAACTTAAAAACAATAGTGGTATTCACCTCAATTTGGGCAAGTGGCCTGGTAGTCTGGCAAAAGAGCAGATCAGCTCAAGCAACGACTGTTGACAACTCTCGTTGTTTGAGTTGGTCTGCTCTTTTGCCAGAGTGCCAGGCCTTTTGCTCAATTTGGTGTATACCACTAATATTAAAAAAACGCAAGATATCGCACACCGTCTTCAAAAGAGTCACAACTCAAAATAATAGTTTGTCAGAAAATGCGAAAAACTATTTCTTAGCACATGATAATCATATGGGCAAGGGCGACTTTACCTTAGGTTTTTTTTTAACAAATTATAACAAAAATTTGCTCCAGCTTTTGTTGAAAGGTAAATAAAGGCTGTGTGTACATTTTCAGCACATAATCTCAAAACTGCCAAATTTTGAGTTGAGACTCTTTTGAAGACGGTGTGCGATATGTACAAGATTGCTAATCTAAAAAGTTTAATCATATTCATGGCCATATATAATAGACATAAATATAATCATTACCTACTAGCTTATGCGTTACTCAAACAGTTACATAACTGTAAAATTGTAGTATTATATAAAATTAACAATAATCTCAATTAGAAATAATAAACGATCGGTTCACCGAGTAAAAAAGAATAGGCAGCAAAAATGGTTCATGAAGTAGTGCCCACGTGTTAAGGGTGTTGCATATCGCTACCCTTATATAGAAAGGCCCTCCTAACTCATATAGTCGCTGAAAAAGCCGTAACTGACTAAAATGGTTTATTGCTTAAAATGATGTTCGGAATTGTAATTCTATGAAATACATCATGGATTTTCACTTAGTTAAGGCTTTTTGTATTTCAGCGACAATATGATTTAGGACCTTTCTATATTAAGGTAACGATATGTAAATGTATGTAGCATTTGCATATTTTAATCCAAGCGAAATCAGTTTATTCTAAAAATTAGGGTGCGTTCGAGCTACGTAATAATTACCGCAATATTGCAGCCTTGTTGCTTTCCTGATGACTTGTCGCTAATGCAACTGAAAATTTTCTAAAATGCTGCAGAAATTGCGCAGTAAAAATTTTTATGTTGCTTTTAATTTGCCAATGATGAGCCATATTCACGATTTGCAGGAACAGCTGTTTTCTCCATTAATAAACCTTATGGAAGGTGGTCACCTGGAACGACTTCCTGTAAAAACCTGCAAATCGTGAAGCATCTGGAACGCAACCCTTTATTGCAGCTCGAGTACACCCAATTTCCATTCAATCAATTAAAACTAAACGTACCTAAGTGAAAGTAATAGCTTACCAGAGATAGAAAGTAATCGTTATTTCTTTTACATTTTTTGTAATCATTGCATTTTTTAATCGTTATAATTAGGGTAAAATTTATCGACCATACACTCAGTCTTAAATACTGTGCTTACAAGCAATTGCTTCGGTTCTGTACAAACACTGTTTATCCAGGTGGCAGAACAATTAATTGTAAGTGATTGCGTTTCTGCGTATTTAAATATTAGATAAAACCAGTTTTAAACAAAAAAGTTGCATGTCAAGGTCCGTATTTGACGAGGATGTCTTTTAACTGTTGAGAAGCTTTTTTATATTAAGTTCACCATTGACGAAAGAGCTCAGATTGTGAGATGTAGGTCTCTATTTCTTATAGTAGCACCAACCTTTCTCCGGAATGTAGGTCTCCGTATTTCGAAATAAAAAAAAAACTTTCCGATATGATGTTACTTGGAGCTCTAGGAATGGGTAACACTGCCTTGCGCGGCAGTGCCGGAGTTGCCGCCCCAACCAAATATATCGACTGAGTGGAAGATCGATCTATCTCGGCAGCCAGTTCGAAAACGCCCTATCTCAAAAAACTTTCCAAGAACGGCCTATTTCAGAATTTGGTTGAAGAACGCCCTATTTCATAATTCTTTTCAAAAAATGCCTATCTCAGCTGCCGATTCAAAAACGTTCTATATCCGCACATTTTCAATACATTTTGAAGTGAGATATGGCATTTTTGAATCAAATTCTGAAATAGGCCGTTCTTCAACCAAATCCTGAGATAGGGTGTTTTTCAATAAAATTCTGAAATATGGCATTCTCAATAAGTTTTTTTAGGTAGGGCGTTTTCGAACTGGCTGCCGAGAAAGGTCGATCTTCCACTCAGCAGTCGATATGAAAAACGCTAGCGCCATCAACACCATGAAACACATATACAATTCGCCTTAATTCATTTGGGGTATTACAACGGTGTCGTAAGCGTCGTATTGTTGTATGTCGTAAACTTTAAACGCATAAAAAATATATTAAGGGGATTCGCAAAGTACCACCAAAGTCATATTATGAATTTTCGCAGTGTTAAAATAGTTGGTTGCGGTTTCAAGTTCTCTAAACATTTATTTAAGCTTTTAAAGTTTACGTCATACAACAATACGACACCGTTATGAATCCCTCAATTGAAAAATTACACGTACTTTGTTTTTGTTTTTGAGCGAGACCGGCAGAAACTTATGTATCTTGCCAAAATTAAAGCTTTTAGTCAACAATGATGAGAATATCGTGGCATTTACTACATTCCTTGCAATGAAATTCACATGACCCCACTGTATGTTGTGTTACACTGTATGACGATGGGTACTGTGGTGACACTCAGATGGCGCCGTGTTCAAATCAGTACGCTGCGCTATTGCGCTGAGTTAGTGCGCTGACGCCATAGGTAGCGCCGACGTTATTAAGCTAGCGCCATAAAATTGCGCTATTACCCATGGCTATGGAGCTCCTGAATAAATTCAAATATATTTTTATTTATTTAATTTTGTAGGATTTGGTCCAAAATCGTTCCCGTGCGACACGTTCACATAAAGTTTATTAAAGGCGAAAACAGCCTGTAAAACCTGCAAATCGTGAAGTACGGGAACAGGCTATATGTATTAGCTGGCTCTACACATTTTGAATTTGTCAAGTGGCAGGTAAAAAATTGTATAAGGCGGAAAAAAGCCGTTTCGTTTAAATACATTTTAGTTCGGGTTACTTTAATTTGATTAATTTTGATTTTCGTTTGAATTAAACTGGATTGAGCCTGGATTAAGTGTGTGAATGCTATGAGTGCATACGCGTATAATTATTCGTATTTGCGATGCAGCTTTAGCGGTTCGTAATAAAAAAAATGATTATGATATTAAAATATACCCCCCACCCCCTCCCCGCCTATAGTGTGCTTACTACAATAAAAGTTGCAAGCTTAATAGGTGGATCGTTAATAACCCTTTTGTTGTGTTATCCTATAGTGTGAAAATAAAGATGGTTCTAACATTGTATGTAATGATTTTTAAAACGTAGTTTCTTCTATATTATTAGTAATTCCTTTTTAAGCAGAATGTAATGTTCACTCGCCGATTTTTTATATTTTTCAAGAAGTGTACTGGATAAAATGTACGCAAAGTATATTCTTTGCAAAAAACCGAATTAATTTGATAAATATGGCTTTTAAAACTCGCAATATTAAGCATAACTACAAAGAGCCCCTAAAATGTAATTATTTGTTAACCTTTTCGTAATTTTTTGACAGGCCAATATTTAGGCGTGATTAAGAATTAAATTAATTATTTTTGTCTCTAAAACTGGTGTAGATGTAAACAGTTTGTATTTAGCATTTTAGTTTTAAACAAATAAATATTTAATGATAATTAGTATTCACCCCATAATAGTGTTTTCGATTATAATAGCCCGAGACAAGTTGCGAGCACAAGCAAGACGTAGTAGATTAATAATTTCTTCAATATTTTCTATTCTATAGTCCTTAAGAATTTCGATTGGCTCCTAAATGAAAAAAGTTGTAAATTTAATATGTGTACATATTTGCATATTTAATTAAAATTGTTAGATAAAACTTACATCAGGATACTTCTCCAGCCGCTTTTTCTTCTTATCAATTAACGGTACCAGCTCGGATTCCAAGTGATGTAGTATCGCGCATGTCTCTTTAGAAAGTATTTTTGGATCTTTCGATTCCAGTAAAGGAATGGAATCAATCAGCAATGAAGGCCAGAAGCTGAAATTGAGTTTAAAAATTTTAAATGTGCACAATACAATTAAAAAGATTAACACAAATATTGCGAGTGTCGACTAGTAGTAGATAAACGACTATTATTCGACTATCGCTTTTTCATGGTATTGTGAATGTCGATTTCTAGTTGAACAAGCGACTGTGAATAGTTTTTAGTTGCTTATCCTTCTTCAACTGTTTGTTTGTAGAAGGATGAGCGACTATAAACTATTAGCACTCATTTATTGAATGAGAAAACGACTTCGAAAATACCACGGATAATCGATAATCCACTAACAGTCGTTTATCTACTACTAGTCTACACTCACAATAGGGTTGTAATACATTGCAATAAAGTAGGGAGATTCTTGAAGTCTTGCGAAATGTTTGCATCGTGCAAGGGCTTTGCGATTTTTCGAGAATCCCCCTAGTTTCTATACAACTTACTATTCTGGCGTAATCTTGGATTCCAGCAAGTTAACCAAGAGTTCCGCAGCTGGCAAAAAATCCCTCTTCCTATAAAATTGATAAAAATCAAAATATTTCACTAAAAAGACTAAGCGTGGGGAGATGAACATCTTGGGGCCAACGTTTGCGATAACATCTGGGCAAAGCATATCTCCAGTTTTTGAATAGTGCTGCAAATAATTTAATAACATAATTATCTGACACTAAAAAGAAAAAAATGCCTACATTTAATAAAAAATCCGCTATTGAAGTTACGTAGAGTGTATCCTTTGAGCGAATAGCCCACTCTAAGGCGTTTCCATAACGGTGCTCGTTTAGTGAAATTTTTGACTGTATTTTGCAAATTTCCTGCTCTAAAAAGCAAAACGTGAAAAAACATTAAACGGAATATTAGGCGTATTATTGATCGTTCTTAGTTTGCGTTCAGACACGGAAACTCGAGCTGCTTATTATCGGCGATTTCTCTTTTAGTGTTGCCCTTTGCATTCCCGCACAGAAACTCTTGTACGCAATTGTAGTTGTCTTGAATTACTCAGACGAACGAGGGCACAAATTGTGTTACCCGAGTACGAGCAACTCGTTACCCGTCCCCTTTCCTCGTCGTCTCCTCTCCCCTACAAGCTTCGAGTTGCCGCAACAAAAGTTTTCGTGTCTTAACATCGACTTACCAACAGCGAAAAATCGTTTCTTTTGTGCGATCCCAATAATTTTTAATGCTTGTTTCTCGGTACGTAACGGTATCTTCGTTAGTAGCATAGACAACGCCGCTTGACCTTTAATTTTAACGAAATAAAATATTCAAGATGCTTGCAAATGAAACTGCGTACTTACCCTCTTGTCCGCAATGGTCAAGATAGTCCATGCCTAATTGCCACAAGGAATTCCGCGTCATTAGAGAGCTTCCAAAGTCATAAAGAAGTGAGTCCCGTAGTTTTATACAATCACTAGTAATATTTTAAATATTTTATAAGATATTTAGTATACATATATGTATATATATATGACATAACATGCGAGTATATTTATATATCAACATCAATGCAAGCGGCCACATTTGACACTCCCCTTTTCTTTCTTTTCTCTTTGGGGAATTTGTATGCTGCTACAACAATAACAACAACAATTTCTCGCAAATAAAATACTTTATTAAATACTAGATTTCCCTCTCCCGCTTCGCTGAGTGTATGAAATTTCTGCATGTTACATTAGGTGTAATTTATTTCAATAAAACTCATCTCAGCCAAAAACGTAGGAGTATCTTCAAAATATGTATTTTCAAACTAAAACCTTCTCAAACCTCTTGTGTTACATTTTAATTGCCTTATTCATTGAGTTCAAAGCCAATTTAAGGTTTTAAACAGGAGGCATCCCTCCTAAATGACGTACAGTATCGGTCATATCTATAGCACGCCATTTCAAAGTGATATTGTGTGCAACTTATGTTTATTTATTTATTTTTGGGAATCTTCAATTAAAATACAATTCTTTCTCTAACAAACCCCATATAAACCCAAGTTTAACAATTTGTACAAAACTTCAAAAAAGTGCAACAAATTTTCACCTAAATTTCAAACTTTTTTCTCAGAAGTGTTTGAATTTTTCTGAATTCACAGTTTTATAGCCCAATCAATTTTAGTCTGAAAGGTGTTGCGGTTTTCATCCATATACAAATAAATTGAGTTTATTCATTATATGGAATAGGGCTGATGATTTCACCCGGGTAATGAGCTACCCGGGTACCCGGGTAGCGGGTGAAGCCCTACCCGGGTATTGAATTACCCGGGTAGCCCGGGTACCCGGGTATTTTATAACCCGGGTAGACCGGGTACCCGGGCAGTATGGTAATTACCCGGGTACCCGGGCACCCGAAAAAATGTGGAGAGGTGAAAATTAAACGCATTTACGATCATATAACGCAAACGAACGTACATAGGGAAAATCTATAAGAATCTTCCGTACCATATGGGGAAATATTATAATATACAACACATACATTGCACTTGACAAATCCGTCATTCATCACACAAGCGTACTTCCAAACCCAGCTTGTTTTAGGCATGTCTAAAATATTAATATTTACGAAGTTGGTAATGCACGTACAGATATCGGATCGGTAACAAATAAAATTATTGAGACACACCCACCTGCGAATCTAAACGATGACCGACAGTTGAGGCAATTTTTTTGTGTTGGAATGAAAAAAATTTTAAAATTTCTTCCACAATTATTTCACAACAATACGTTCATCAACCTACTTCTCGTATTAAGGAAACTTCATTAAATAATTGTGATTTTAAAAGCTTTAAATATTATGAGAAAAGAAACTATAATTTGAACAAGCTGATACAATAAAAGTACAAAATCTTTAGGTGAATGGATAGCATAAGGCTTTGTCACCTTACTTTTTGTACCAGAAGTGGCCTACCACAGGGTTTAGTTCTTATATAATTCCCAATGAGAACGTTCTCGTCAGTTTTGTTCTCATTTTGGTTTTGGTTTTGACGCGTTCTTGGGAACAAAACTACGACAATTGCATTTAGTTTCGATCATACATTTCGTTCTCAGTCCCTGTTTTAAAATATTAATATTTAATACTCTTTAAAATATACATACATACATACATATGTACACATGCATGTATGTATATGCATTTACAAAAATTAGAAGTTTGAATTTAAGTACAGAAACTAATGTTTTAATTTACTTTTCTTGTCTCCGTCTACTCAGGCAAGCGGTTAGGTGTACATAGTCGAGTACACTCTAGACATAAAAAAATAATTATAAAAAAAAATTTTCTCACTGAAAAAATATTTATCCTCACCAAAAAGATTATACAAGAAGCTTTATGTCGCATTACCCGGGTGTTTTTCGTTTAACCGGCACCAACATATGTATATTACCCGGGTACACGGGCAAATCGGGTAATACCCGACTACCCGGGAAATAAAAGCCCCGGGTAATACCCGGGTAATCGGGTACCCGGGTACCCGGGTATCATCAGCCCTAATATGGAAGCCAATGCGACAAAAAAAATTCTAAAAAATTAACGGTAATTCGTAGCCACTTGAAATTTGCACATTATCAGACCAAAATTTCAGTGGCTAAAAAACTGTGTAATTCTAGCACTTCCGAGAAAAAAGTTTGAAACTTAGGTGAAAATTTGTCGCACTTTTTTGAAGTTTTCTACTGATTGTTAAACTTGGGTTTATATGGGGTTTGTTAGAGAAAGAACTATATTTTAATTGAAAATTCTTAAAAATAAATAAATAAACATAAGTGGCACACAATATCACTTTGAAATGGCGTGCTATAGATATGACCGATACTGTATAGAAAGCATTATTTCAAATGATTCATCCTCATTGCGAGTCGTGTCGGATGCAAGTCGTTTTTCAAGAGTCGAATCGTATGGAAAATTTCATGTCATCGCTTAAAAATTCGACTCGAATAATGTATTAAAACGGAAAAACTTGGCAGCACTGCATAGTTTTCAACGATTTTCGTCGTTTACTTATTTCAGCACGACAGTAGATAATGCCAATGTTGTCGAGTGGTACAATTTAGCCTAAATTAGGACTTACGCAATGAAGCTGAATATGAATTTAACCATTTGAACATGTGGCAACCTTGATTCAAGATGAATTTGATTTTTCAAACAGGAGGCAACTCAGCTACATGTAGCTTAGAAATAAAACCTTCAATTTCGATGTAACAATAATGTAACAAACAAATAAACTCCAAGTAAATTTAATTTTTAAATCACAGCTCTTCCCTATGAGTTTGGAATTGATCTTATATACATACTAAGTATATTCATACCAAGTTTCAGTACTTTAGATACCACAAACATTTCCAGAGATATGCAGTATGAATGATTCCGTTTGTATGGGAGGTGCCACACCCCCTTGTCTAATCCAGATAAAATCGATCCTATATTTTAAGTTTGACTAAATGAAATCAGTGTAACAAACAAACAAACTTTCGCATTTATAAATTGTTAAGGATAACGTTAGTTGATTTTCAAATAAATACGCCGTTATATTGGTATTAAAAGTCATGCCATAAAAAGAACGAAATTTCTTTTCATCTTTAGAACAGCTATTAGATTGGCGCTTACACAATATGTTATTGTTTGGCCGAGCTTCTGCTTCGATTTGTGGCGTAAGCCTTGATGTTGTCACACAACGGGGAGGAGTCTCAGTTTTACGCAGACTCCGAACGGCGATTGTATTTTTATGGCAGAAATACACTAGAAGGTTTGCCATGGCCTGCCGAGGGGCGATCACTATTAGAAAACTTTTTTTTTATGTTAGGTGGAAACTGGGCTCGAACCTAGGCCCTGCGGAATGGTAGCGCACACTGCTAACCACTAAACCACAGCGGCCACCAAAAGCTACTTGAGCTATTAATTTAAAAGGATTTTTGCTTCTCCTGTAAAATTAAAATTTGTCAAATAGGGTATTTTACAACGATGGTGGTGATATGTATGTACATAGATAATTATTAAAGTTTTTGGTGACACATAAACGAAAGATACTAGAGTAGGAAATTTTTAAGTAAATAATCTACATATGTTTGTATGTGAGAGGCTGTTGTTGTTGTAACAGCATATAAATTCCCGAAAGAGTTTTGCACACAATTCCTCGCCTGGGTAAAAGATTCTCGCACGCGCCATTTTGACGATTTTTAGTTAAAGATGCAATTCGGTACTTTAAAATAAGATATTCAGCCTTATCATGAGTTCCATTTTCCCCCGAACAGGTCCATTTTCACTTTTGGGTTCCATGTATTTACTATGGGCGGAATAAAAATTTTAGGGCGAATTTTTTTTTCGGACGAAACCCAGGATAAGGCAAATTATTTATTGCTCATATGCCAATTACAGATTCTAACAACCAATTACACGAAAGCAATTTAAGTGAAAAATGATTTATTTTCTATAGGAATTGACGAAATTTAACGTGAAAATGTAACATACGAAAAACTACTTTTATAAAAAGTGTCTGCAAAAGCTATATTAGTTAATGAAAGTTTAAGAAAATAGTATGGGTATTATTCATAAAACAGGTTTCCATACAATAATAATCAAGCTGTACAATATAACATTAAATTTTCGTAAAGCTAAGATCCGATTATTGGTGCTATGGGCTGATTTTCGGCGCATCTCGAAATGCGGCAATCTGAGCTGAAATTGTGCTGACTATATAGCAACCAAAATTAATATTGCTGTGCCGATAATGTGAACACTCTTTTGCTCATTGTACAACAATCAAGTTGTAAAATATGCGGCGAATTTAATCGGGCGCTCATGCCGTGATCAATTTCAACAACTTGTTTATTTTTATTTATTTTATTTAAAAAATTGTCACAATATGCAATAAGAATGTAGTTGTAAAAATTGTTTAAATATGTACCAATCAAGCACGATGGAAATCGGTACACACACTTGTGATCAGCTAATTAAGCCAGCAACATTTTCATCAATTTTGGCAAATTTTCCTTTTGTTTATTATTTTTCCATAAAAGTCTAGCTCATTATATAACAAACACCACATAAACCCAGATTTCAAACTTTGTGTAAAAATTATGAAAAATCTGTAAAGTTTCAGCTAGATTTTCAACCTTTTATTCAGATTTTTTAGAATTTTTTTGAGTATGCAGTTTAATAGCCCATTAAATTCTAGGGATTTTTTTCCATACAAAAGAAATTGTCGTTTTTGTTTTGTATGGAAAAAAATTTGTAATGCAGTCAGGAAAAAATTATTAAAAATCAACGCGATTTTTTTAGCAACATAAAACTTGCCCACTATTACTAGAATTTAATGGGTTATTAAACTGCATACTCAAAAAAATCTAAAAAATCTGAATAAAAAGTTGAAAATTTAGCTGAAACTTTGCAGATTTTTCATAATTTTTACACAAAGTTTGAAATCTGGATTTACATGGTTTTTGTTATATAATGAGCTAGACTTTTATAAAAAATAATAAACATTAAATAAACGAAAGCAAAATAGCCAAAATTTACCAAAATGTTGCTGTGATTAGCTGATCACAAGTGTATGTGCTATTTTCGCCGATAGCGGGATCCTAGCGTAAGTGCTAGAAAAATACACAAAAACATAAAATTTTACTTGGAGCGGCATATTTGTTGCTGCAGCAACCTTTGAGGCGCAGTAGAAATCACAGCATTAATGAGCTAAGGTTTGTGAATTTGTTAAAATACGGCTGTAAATCTCTAACATCGGTTTCCCATAACCTGCCGAAAGTATCATACTATATTATTTTACCCAGGCAACGATTTTTAAGACGTTCCGCCGTCCGGATAAGGGATTGTCATTTGTTAATTTCAGCAAGTTTTGGGAAATCGCGATTGAAGTTTAGAATACAACCGCGATTGAAATTTGGAATACATTTTCCAAGGTCTCCGACAATTTTACTAGTTCAGAATATTTTTAAGTTATTGTATTTTTAATGTTTATTGCAAGGCGACTTAATATAAGCCCATTACAGCGTAGCTCAACCCACCAGCGTTGCCGTTTTGGTCCAATTGGACCAATATTGATAGCTTCATTCTCCGTTGGTAGCTTGGTTGGTTTGATGAAGCTTTTGGTAGGCAAAATTGGTTTGAAAATACAATCAAATTGAACATTAAAACTTGTTTGCTTAATTTAAGTTTACACGTTCAAAACACTGCTTTCACTTTGCTTACACGTAAAAGATTTCTTTATATTTTGTTTAGTTTATTAAACAGGCAATTTTCTGCAAACAAAAACTCACTTCCCAAAGCAATGACCGATTAGCTGATGAAATTAACGAGAAATTACCTATTGTCTTGAAAGAAAAATTGGTGATAGGAAATTCAGCATGAAAAGTCATCTGTAAAAGAAACATACTGATTTTGCATTGCTTTAAGCCAAATGCATTTTAAAGTTGTTGAAATTGAATGCAGTCGGACAATCGACTTGCTGCTTGCACACAATTCAAACTGAAAATTTTAAAGCACATTAAGATGTATGGCTGTAGCTCAGCGGGCAGAGATGTTTGCTACAACTGGTCGCGACCAAGGATGTCCATGTTCAAATCTCATTACGCGGAACATTTAATTTTAAATTTTTAATTTAGGTTTTTCTTAATTATGAAAAAGCACCTGTGAAGTTCAGAACGAAATCGTAATCAAACTACTGACTTTAAAGTACTTTAGACAAATTAGTTTTGAAGTAGTAGAAACCAAATGCAGAGTCGGATAATTGAATGATGCCTAGGACCTCGCTATGTTGAAGTCAACAGTTCGTTCCAAGGAAGAAAGTCAGATTTTCAACTAATTGTGGTGGGTAGAAAACTAGTTGAACATCGATATTTTAATTAGTTTCTTTCCGTACATACAGAAAATCAGCTGGTCTAGTAACACCACCTTATATAAATTCGCCTTGGTTTATTGTTAAATATTTTTGAGTTTATGACAGTTTGTCGTTTGTAACATTTTGTCGTATGTTAGTTACATTTGTCAACAATATTGCAGAAACTTTGTATGACATACGATACAAATTTGTACTAAATTAGCGATACTTTTTATTCAATGGGTCGTATGCATAAGAACTAAGCAATTGCTGTTTCTTAAAATTGGGCGAAAATTTTAAGAAAAACCATTTGACTAGGTTTTACTCATGCTTCGCAATGAATCTATAACTCCATAACTGTAGTAATATCTCAATTTGTACTAAATTACCGATAGAATTTTAGTCAATATCTTGGAAACTATAGAGATATCCCCAAACTAATAACAGCAATTGAAAGATCTTATTACAACTAAAAATCGTCAAAATGGAGTTGACGACAATCTTAACCAGGCTACAATTTTAAAGATTATGCTAAGCGTACTATAAAGAGAAAATATTAATCTTACGTCAATTGGTTTTCGCCAACTATTTGCAACTGGCAACAATTGTAGAGAAGGTCTGTGAGGTGCGTGACAAACCACTGATTATCTGCCATCAACTGTATTGCGTGTACTACTTGATGCATATCGTTTTCCATTAAACTAAGTATTACTCGATCTAAGTGTTTCATTTGCAATTCATTACTGTTATGTCCTTTCAGACGCGCCCAACGTGATAGCCATGTGTTCGCTGCATTGCCCAGCTCAAAATGCTTGCAGGCAGGATTTGTGAGGAACAGGTAGCCTGGCAAGAGCTCATACCAGTATTGAGTTTCTTGTATTTGCGTATTCCAAATCCGAGTTTCCCCTGTTACCAACTACAGATTAAAACAATAATTCTGGTTTTTCTCCAAATATTTCTAAGTACAAGTTTTAAAGAATTCACGCACCTGTATGAGTTCCTCGAGGTTCGGCTCGATTGCAAGTATATTTGCAGAAATCTTACGTTCTGTGTCAGTCAACCAGTACTGCCATTGTGATCGAAATTTTTGTATAGAAGCACCACCATGGACCTAATTAAAAATGTTTATTAGTACTATATGTACCTTTAAAAAATTCTGTGGTATTAAGTAATCCGCCCTATGTTGAATATCGTCATCGTCAGTAAAAGTGACGATACGGCCATCGTCAGTCATGTTACTGATGCGCTGACGATCGTCGACGATGACGATGACGATACTCAGCATAGGGCCGAATATCATTTACACTGTAAGTAGGCATTGTTTTCAAAATTTGCTCAGTTAACTTAAAGTGAGCAGTTTCCGCTTGCGGATGTAGATGTAATAAAGCACGCGCCACATCCACTTGCCCTTGCATTATCAGCCCTTTAAGGGCTGGCCAATATTCATCACTGTCACTTGCTTCACGGCCCAGCAACAAAAGATCAGTAGCCATTCGTTCTGCTGCTGGGAAATGAAAGCGCACCCATTCCAAAAGCTGCGGCACTACTGCATTTGACGGCGTTGGGTCCAAAAATAATATTTCGCTTAAATGCCACACGCATTCAATCGAATAAAATATCGAAATATATTGATGATATTTAGATTTTGCTTCGGTCTCTCCAACTTCGCCTTCACTTATAACAATATCTTGCAATTTTTCTAAACAAGCACGAATTATGCTGCGATAAGTACGGGATATTTTGGTGTATTCTGCTTTTGAACCCCGTCTTTTAAGCTCTTGGAGAATTACAAATGTCGAATTTGCTTCAGCGACAAGACTACGAAGTATGGGGTCATCGAATATAAACTCAGGCTGTAGCATATGTATTACCACATCATCTTTGCCAGCGAATTCGGTAGGAGCATCTCTCGTACTGCTGGTAATAGGTCGGAAGGCTGATAAAACAATTTTACTACCAGCCACAAACTGACCGGTTACAGTGTTTGCATATCGACTGCACAACGGGTCAACGATGGACTGATATTGAAAAAAGAAAATGTTTGAAGTAAACCATTTGTATTAGAATTGGATACAACCATAAAAAGCTTACGAATTCTGCGGGTTGCTCTTCCTGCATTCTTTAAAAAATTAATTTCCAAATTGTTCCAA